CGAAATATATGGTTATTTCAACATCGCTAAATCCTTCTATGTAGCTACTACCCAGTGCCGACTTCTTATACGTTCCCCGGCCCTTCGGTATATTCGGGATAAGCTTTTTGTAGACTTCAAATGTTGCGTTGATAGTATCAATTCAATTTGTTCCAAGGAGAATACTTGGCTATATGCGCCCCCCCACGTTGGCGCTTACAGTAATTGAATGGCAGATAAGCACTGCCTGCACCGCCAAGCAGGCAAGTCTTACATCCAAGACAAAACGCCACAAGCGACTGGTGCTCCCGGTGTTCCTCTACTGGGATACGTGATACCTCTTCTATGGCGGAATATCGAGTTGATGCAGCTTATTAGTGGAGCCAGACCCTCTGACTTGAAGATAAGCACTGCATAACCGGTATTTATTCTCCTAGTAACTAGCACCATGTACACACCCATTCTGGACTATTGAGGCGCAGATCACAGTGCCCTGTCTCCACTATGTGTCAGTGTGGCCAACTTATATATGGGTCATGATACTAGACACGCCACCAACCCCCGAGCTCTCTCCAGCATGTTATCCGGGCCCGTTAACTGTACAGCGAGTTATAGAGATTATGTTGATACTCAGGAGAACCCTTCGAACGTTTGCTTAGATACTGGGGCTGTTGTCGGGCTTGCAGTATGCTATTTACGCCATGTCTTTGTGTGACGCTGATGTCAAGACCGTGATTAGTTCCAAGCCGAGGCTGGCCTCGTATCTCTCGTTGCCCTTTTGCTCTTACTTGGCATTATTGCTGTTGGTGGTATCAATCAGTTAGGATGCGTATATGCTAATCATCGCCCACGAATAGCGCAACTATCACCGTAACCTTGTCAAACCGCCGCCTGGACCGTGGCGACTCTTCCGAGGAAACATTGATATTCTCATAGTATGATTAAATCCTTTAATACGGTTTACCGGGTGATTAAAGTGTCGAGCTAGTTCAATCTCATATTGGCCGACATTTGGATGTCGCTTGGATCCATACCCAATATATACTGGGCTCACAAGCGACAGGTATACACTGGGCCAATGTGTAACGCGCAGGGTGCGATTCAAACCATCGGAGAGACGGCAGTAGCGTTTGCTACCATACTAGTCGCTGTCTACACCTCCGTTGTGATCTATCTTAATCAACGTCCAGCATATAGCCCGTGGTACTGTCTGGCAACAATAGTCGCCACCTGGCTATGGGCCATTCTATGGGGAGTCGTGCCCATTGGAACCTATGCAGGGTTGGAGTCTGACGGACATGGTGCGAGGCTATATTATACTCCAACACCATGGTGTAAGTGTACAGTACAGCTCAAATCTCAGGTGAATTCAACTAGATTTTACGTACAGGGTGCTGGATCAATGGAAGATATATGACAGACCGCATAGTTGCTGAATATCTTTGGTATTTTGAATTTAAGCATAGTTTATTTAACGGTTATTCTGATCCGATTTCGAAGGTTGTGGGTTGCAGGGGTCGGCACAATCTGCCTCTACGTTCCTTCCTACATTGTTCTGCGGAAAAATAGGAGGAAGCCGAAGGCGACGCGCGAGCCCGGACGTGATGACAGTCAATTCGACAACCAAAGTCACTCCGGCTCCAGCTCTAGTATCGAAGATGGAGATAGTCCCGCCAAGATACTGTAGTAGGTTACTTTTTCTCTGAACACAATGGCTCCAATGATTCTGACAGAGTATTACGCGTAGCTACCCTATTGCCTACACCCTTTGCATTCTTCCACTTTCCATTATGCGTTGGGCCACATTTAGGGATTCCTCTTTACTATCCAACTCACGTATGCATCCTCCGTCCATGGTTTTCAGCGTCACTTTCTACCTTATGGGATCGATCAACGTAGCACTCACAGTCTGGGTTCGACCCTCGCTGTTGCTCATCAGGTCTGACGGTCAACTGAGCTCCGACGATCCTCGCTTCGTTGCAGAGACTCAGGTAGAAGCGCCAGATATTATACAGCCGCAACAAGCAGACCAGACTGGTCACCCAGAGTCCAATAGCCAACGACTGGCAGTGAACACATTGGCTGGATGGAACACGTGAGTATAATCTACAGCTTTTGTGCCTCCTTTGAAATCTCCATCAAGTGGTGGTAGTATCATGTTCTTCTATAGTTTACGGTCAGTTGTCTCAATAGAGCCTGGGCAATTTCCACTCGTCCAACTTTGTAACCGGTATTTTGTCTCAGTATCTTCTACTAAGTTCGCCAGGACTCGCGAGAATAGGTCAAAATCACGCTGATAAAGATGCAGGTTAAGTACTATGCATTATTTTGCAAAGCGAAGATGCAAGAGAGCGGGCACGGGGTACTATCGATGAGTGCAGCGTATAGCATGCAGTAAGATCCCCGAAGTCCAGGGGTGTGTAGGTTGACAAGTGAGGTCGACCGAGCGGGCCAATCGGGCATAACCAGGGCTGGCAAGCGGGAGAGCAGCGCGTGTCGCTTGGGGCCGAAAGTCCACACGACGGATGATGCTCAATGCTGAGGGCGGGTAATCGTGAAGAGGCAAGCCAACCGGTTGTGCCACGTGACTTAGCGCCACCCGAACCTCAGTTACCTCTCGCCCGGTAAGTCACCGTACAGCTTCACCGTACAGCTATTCATATAGTAATAGAAGTGTGAGATAGTTTATCTTGTATGCTACTATATGGATTGTTAGTAACACCATCAATCAAACCGCAAGCATACGCAAAAAGAGGAAGCCCCACGCGGGGCTCGAACCCGCAGCCTTGAGATCCCCAAATTAAGTACTAATTTGACAACGATGAATGAGGCTCACGGTCTTTGATCGTAAAAGTCTCACGCTCTACCGATTGAGCTAGCAGGGCTTATTGGTCAGACGCCGAGAAACCCCCGATACCCTGTGTGTCCGTAGCCACGAGCCCATATTGATGCGGGCCGATTTCCGTGGGTTCTATTCCCGTGGCAACTGGATTTTCGCCTCGGATTTGCCACTTCAATCACGAGGTGGGTAAATTTGCTTATCCTTTACGCAAATGTAGAGATGCTGTAACCACCCTTGCTTTTACCCTCCACCGCGCGACCTCTTCGACCAGCTTTGAACCTAGAGGGTGTAGCAAGAATTAACTTCTAGATCTTTCTGGTTGATTTCCCTCGTCGCCGACATGACTATAATATGTCCCTCATTGTTGGAGCGTGGCTTTTGTCTCGACGAGCACTGCCAATGTCTTCACGATACGTCTAATTTCTGTTTACCTTGCCGTTTGGAACTTGGATCGGCAGCTAAATATAATACCCATAGCCAAACTGCTGCACATAGACAGTCAATCGAAGCTGCAGGTTTAGATTGGCTACACTGTGTTCCATGTAACCGGTACTATCGGCGGGGAAGTCTTGAACAGACAAGCCACGAGACCTCGCATGGACATATTAATAATTTATCTAACTTGCCAACCGGTGTAGCTACCCAGGTTGAAGCGAGGGCACCCCCTGATTTTACGAGCTGCGAAGCTTGTAAATCCACGATACAAACCAGCGTATACGACCAACACTGCCGCACAAAACAACACGTTGCGCGTCAACGAGTATTCAATTATCTGAACGCCGTAGCTCTCACACAGCAGAACAAAAACGGGGTGGAGGTGTCTGGAGACTTGAAGGCTGGACTAGACTTGGGTATCTGGGCTCCGGAAGCGTCAACAAACGAACCCGCGGTCGTATGGGTCTCAAACACCAGTTCCGCATCTGTCTCTTTAATCAAGGCGCGTACTTCGGCATCACTGGGTATGCGTCCAGGCCTACAGCTTTGGTGAGTTTCTCGTTCCGTTTACTTATAGAGCTTTAATTCAAGCCGTTAACGATATGGTACTAGTTTTAACGTAATAGCCAGTTTCTCGCTTCCATTCTCAATCGAGCTACACAGTAGTGTAGCAGTGAGGATCCATTTCAATCCACATGGGCAGCGAGGACGATTTGAAGACCGCCTGGAACTAGTGTTCCGGGACGCTAATGGCACCTTTATGATTACGCGACCCCTGAAAGCTATTGTTGCAAGCTCAGATTTGGTCCAATTAGCACCGATTACTCCATATCAACGCGCACGGCCTGCTCGTAAGCGAAACACCAAGATTCAAATCATTGGAGGGGGCGAAAAAATATTTTCAAATACAAAATACAAGAGACGTCTCCCTCAGGCGGATATCCCAAGAGACCTCGAACAACTTTTGACTCACGGTGCCATCGACCAACAAATCGGCGAATTCGGGGAGAAATTTATGCCTGAGAGCTTCACGGCGGACTCATACAGGCACTTCTGGTCCAGTCTTGTTTACGCGGAACATATTCAGGCCAGGTGAGTGGGTATATGCACCCCGGTAAGGTTCAACTAAACCTGAACCATTTCATTCTAGAATTGACCTGAGCAGTTTTGACATGGACGATGTAACTTTGGTCAAACGTGGTACACTATACGAGTGCGTCTAAATTGCTTGCTTGAATAGTAGCTAAAACTCAACCTCACTATCAGACTTGAGGTTCCGGGGTTGGCTGAAAAGCGGTCAGTTTATTAACAACAAATCCGTTGGAGCGATCTCTGACTCTGGATGCGTACCAAGACCTTCTGTTCTCAGCGGGGATCGAATTAATATTCACCCACACAGCCAGCCAGACGGCGTGTGGTTCAAGGGTATTGTGCACGAAATTCAACTATCAAAAGTTCGAATTTCATTCCATCCTTCTTTCCCGCACCATCCATCCGCCACTTATGACGTCGAGTTTACCTTGAATCCGGTCCCGTTTCGTCGGATGGTCCAAGCGGTTAGCGTTCCAAATCCACGAACCAATATTATATTTCCATCTCCAGAGGATCTGCATTCGGACGTTGGTGTCCAATCGGTGCAATCGAATCAGCCTGCAAGGGTATATAATCGCTTACTAAACACCAATAATGAGCAGCTCCAGGCTGTGAGATGCGTTACAGAACTTCGGAGTGGGAGCCCTCCTTTTGTTATTTTTGGCCCGTACGCACAAACAACACATTTTCCGCGCACTGAGCGTACTCAGCTCTAACCGGTTTGTTACAGGCCAGGAACCGGGAAGACGGTGACAGTGGTAGAATGCATATCTCAGCTTTTGGACACACCGTCCGTGAGGATTTTGGCCTGTGCTCCAAGCAACTCTGCGAGCGACCTTATTGCCCAACGACTAATCGATACTCGCGCGCTGGGTACAAACGAATTATTCCGGCTCAATGCGATCTGGCGCTCCCGAAATGAATTACCAGAAGAGCTGCAAGGATATTCGCGCTACAGCCGTCATTTCGAGGTTCCGGATTTAGAGGAGCTCAACTCTTACCGAGTTATCGTTGCAACCTGCTCTTCGGCAGCTTTACTCTACGGCCATGGCGTTGACCCAGGCCATTTCACTCATATATTCATCGATGAAGCAGGCCAAGCGTCAGAGCCTGAAGTTATGATCCCTGTTCTACCTTTAGTCAACAGCAGCACAAACGTTGTTCTAAGTGGTGATGTGAATCTTCAGCGTGTGTATGCTGCTGTCCGTATACTAATAGTATCAATTTCCGTCTGCTAGCCAAAGCAGCTGGGGCCAGTTATTCGATCCCCGGTCGCGAGGCAACTCGGAATGGGGACTAGTTACCTAGAACGCTTGATGGCTTTGCCAGCGTACGACGAAGTTATTATGCGGGGAATATCGTTCGTCCATTTGTTATTTGATGATTTGAAACTTCTAACTTAAGTCCATGTGTCAGCGTAATCAAGTTGTTGAAGAATTTCCGAAGTCACGAATCCATCCTAGCATTCCCAAACCGGCAATTTTACAGGAACGAGCTGATCCCATGCGCCTCGCCGAATATCACAGAGACCTTACTTAACTGGAATGGACTGGCTTCTCCAAGATTCCCAATCGTCTTCAAAGCCATTACTGGTAAGTGTATCAAAGGCTAGGTGAGCTCAGTAAACACTCACGTGTATTGTATGCAGGCGAAGATATGAGGGAGTCAACTTCACCGTCGTTCTTCAACCCCCATGAGGCGTCTCTAGTGAAAGAATGCGTACAAAGCCTCGTGCCTTATATGGGTGAGTAATGCGCTTGACTGTTCGCCTTAGGTACTTAAACGTTAGACATCAAGCGACTACCAAACAAATTGGGATTGTTACTCCATATCGTGCTCAAGTCAGGAAAATACGTCAATTGCTCCGTGACATTGGGATCGATGACATCGATATTGGTAGTGTAGAGAAGTTCCAAGGCCAAGTGCGTTCCATGTATACTCGCGCGAACAACTCTCGCTCATAATGAAAATATAGGAACGACAGGTCATCATATTATCGACTGTTCGTAGTAACAAGGATTTCCTTGGGTTTGATCTCAAGCATACTCTGGGATTTGTTGCAAACAAGCAGCGGCTGAACGGTGGGTCTCACAACATGTAGCGATATTATGTGCTTATCACGCTCCCCGTAGTGGCAATTACTCGTGCTCAAGCCCTTCTTATTATAGTCGGCGATCCAGTGATTCTTGGGCTTGATCCGCTCTGGCGCCAATTCTTGTATTTCATATACCAGTCGGGCGGTTGGACAGGTTCACCCTTCCCCTGGGATCCAGAGGCCGATCCGGAGGACTCAGGTAGTACAAGCTTACTTGAGGAGAGCGAGGTTGTTCGGCTTCTCCGGCGTGCAGCTACCGACGCCTCTGATGACTCAGCTGGCGAGTTAGATCAAGCCGGAATGGGTGATGAATGATGGATTTTGGATGTTCAAATCTAGTA